CATCAAACGTGCTTAGGAATGCGATAAATTTTTGAATGCTTTGTTTAATTTTTCTTACTGTTACGCATATGTCAAACAGTCATTTCGAAAATGAATAGATCTTGTTGCTATATTAAGCTGTAATATAGTTCAAGTTTTAGATAATTTTTTCTTGAAACTTGAGAAAACGTTTTCAAAATAGTTATGTTAGCCGCAACTCTTTAATTCAATTTTTATATGGAACTATAATGTACTCAAACATTAATAGATATATATTTGTTAAAATTCATTTAACCTGAAAATAGCTCCTACAATTTACTTTGCTCACAAATAAAACTTAAACGACAACATGGCAAATAACTAAATATATCAACCGTCGCAACTTAATAATCGAGGCTTCTTTCTGATCCTTTTTTCCCATGTTCCCCAGTATTCTCCCTTTCCTCTACACCCAAACTTCCTCTCGTCCTCTAAACTCACTTTTCCTCTGGTCTTCTGTACCTACTGTTCCTCTGGTCCTCTGTACCCACTTTTCCTCTGGTCCTCTGTGCCCACTGTTCCCCTGCTCCTCTGTGCCCACTGCTCCTCTGTACCCACTGGTCCTCTGTACCCACTGGTCCTCAGTGCCCACTGTTCCTCTGATCCTCTGTACCCACTGGTCCTCTGTACCCACTGTTCCTCTGGTCATCTGTGCCCACTGTCCCTCTGTTCCCACTAATCCTCTGGTCCTCTGCACCCACTGGTCCTCTGTGCCCTCTGGTCCTCTGTACCCACTGGTCCTCTGTTCCCACTGTTCCACTATTTCCGAACTTTTTTTCCCATGTTCCCCACTGTTCTCCCATTCCTCTACACCCAAACTTCCTCTGGTCCTCTGTACTCACTTTTCCCTCTGTTCCTACTGTTCCTCTGGTCCTCTGTACCCACTGTTCCACTATTTCCGAACTTTTTTTCCCATGTTCCCCACTGTTCTCCCATTCCTCTACACCTCTGTTCCCTCTGTTCCTACTGTTCCTCTGGTCCTCTGTACCCACTGTTCCCTCTGTTCCTACTGTTCCTCTGGTCCTCTGTACCCACTGTTCCACTATTTCCGAACTTTTTTTCCCATGTTCCCCACTGTTCTCCCATTCCTCTACACCCAAACTTCCTCTGGTCCTCTGTACTCACTTTTCCTTTTGTCTTCTATACCCACTGTTCCTCTGGTCATCTGTACCCACTTTTCCTCTGTTCCCACTGTTCCTCCGGTCCTCTGTGCCCACTGTTCGTTTGGTCCTCTGTACCCACTGTTCATCTGGTCCCCTGTACCCACTGTTCCTCTGGTCCTCTGTGCCCACTGTTCCTCTGGTCCTCTGTACCCACTGTTCCTCTGGTCCTCTGTACTCACTGGTCCTCTGTACCCACTGGTCCTCTGTGACCACTGGTCCTCTGGTCCTCTTGACCCACTGTTCCTCTAGTTCACTGTGCCCACTGGTGCTTTGTATCCACTGGTTCTCTGTACCCACCAGTCTTCTGTGCCCACTGTTCCTCTGTTCTTCTGTACCCACTGGTCCTCTGTACCCGCTGTTCCTCTGTATCCACTCTTCCTCTGGTCCTCTGCGCCCACTGTTCCACTGTTCCCTCTGTTCCTACTGTTCCTCTGGTCCTCTTTACCCACTGTTCCACTGGTCCTCTGTACCCACTGGTCTTCTGTTCCCACTGTTCTCTGGTCCTCTGTACCCACTGGTCCTCTGTATCCACGGTTCCTCTGATCCTCTGTACCCACTGTTCCTCTAGTCCTCTGTGCCCCTTGTTCCTCTGTGTCCACTGGTCCTCTGTTCCCACTGTTCCTCTGGTCCTCTGTATCCACTGTTCCTCTGTGCCCAATGTTCCTCTGGTCTCACTGTTCCTCTGGTCCTTTGTACCCACTGGTACTCTGTACCCACTGTTCCTCGGGTCCTCTGTACCCACTGGTCCTCTGGTCCTCTGTGCCCTTTGTTCCTCTGGTCCTCTTTGCCCACTGTTCCTCTGGTCCTCTGTAGCCACTGTTTCACTGGTCCTCTGTGCCCACTGTTCCACTGGTTCTCTGTACCTACTGTTCCACTGGTTTTCTGTGCCCACTGTTTCTCAGGTCCTTTGTACCCACTGTTCCACTGGTCCTCTGTGTCCACTGTTCCTCTAGTCCTCTGTACCCACTGTTCCACTGGTTCTCTGTACCCACTGTTCCACTGGTTTGCGGTGCCCACTGTTCCTCTGGTCCTTTATGCTCACTGTTCACTGATCCTCTGTTCCTACTTTTCCACTGTACTACTAATTCTCTGTGCCTTCTGCTCCTCTAGTCCTCTGTGCCCACTGTTCGCTGATCCTGTGTACCCACTGTTCCTCTGGTCCTCTGTACCCATTGGTCTTCTGGTCCTCCGTACCCACTGGTTTCTCTGGGCCCACTGTTCCTCTCGTCCTCTATACCCACTGGTCCTCTGTTCTCACTGGTCTTCTAGTCCTCTGTCTGACCCTCCTGGTACCCACTAACTTTACCCTTCTACTACGTACACCTATCTGTTAATTATTAGTTACTTCAGAACCCGGTATATGAGACTACCCTGTACTTCAGTAGCTTCTCCAGCAAAGAAAGCGATTCAGGTTCATACAGGTCAAATGTCGTCAAAGACTACATTAATCGGCCTCAGCACTTTTCGGTGTGGCAGCGAAAAATCCGTTCATGGAAGACCTTAGGAGCTCGCTCCGTACGAGTGCACATCCCAAATTACTGAAGATTTTGCCTCCTGGTGCAGACTTGTTTCAAAGGAATGCCGCTTCAGTGAGTGCGCCAGAGAGTGCGGAGTGGTTCACTTCAACGCAATTTTTTATTTTGGACAAGGCTAAGGCACTTCCCATTAGGATAGGGAGTCAAACAGTATGGCAAGCCATCAGACTGGATTTTAGAGACAACAAAGACAAAATGATACCAAAAGATTATGAACTTCACGATAGGTGTGATTTCCTGTGCTGACCCATGTTTAATACACGGTTATTTGACATATTCGTAGTTGCCAAAGGTGTGTATTACATACACTTTAATTCTCTCAATCAAAAGATCGCCACATTTTTCAACTTTTGAAGTGGGACGATTTGGGAGAGGAATCACCACCAGTGTGTTTGGTACTAGTGAAGCGCTGTCAAATGAATACAGAAAATTCAGTCAATGATTTTAAAACATTGCACAATCTGGACAACTAATGCAAAGGAGAGCAACATAGTACAAATAAAACGTGTACTAACGTTGTATATATGAAAAGATATAGACAATAAATGCATAATTTAAGTCCACAAACTTATGGGACTTGCTTCAAAGTGGATTATTGGCAAATATGGTAATAACTGTTGGTGTAGTCAGCATACCCCCACTTATAGTTGGGGACTCGCATTTCCCCTCTAATCGTGGTTGATGAAACCTTACACCATTTCCACCTTAAACCAACAGCAGAGGTACTTCAACTACCGACTTAGCAGAGCGTGCATGGTGACAGAAAGGCCATAAGGTCAGCTAAAGGGAAGGTGGAGAGTGCTTCTTAGAAAAAGGGAGAGCAACAAGGAACACATGCGGACAGTCACCCTGCAATGCATGGTCCTCCATAACATTTGTATAGCCCAGGAAAAGAGGGATCATGAAGAAATTAGAAAACTTCTGCTAAAGACAGAGTGTAGAAGTTCAATAGACAACTCTGGTGAAGCAGTGAAAGCGAGAGATGCTCTCTGCAAGAAACTGTGGGTTGAAAAGGAGACTAGAAAATTTGAGTAGTCTCAAACAAGTGACAGTTCACAGTGCCCCTACTCCAACCAAGGCAACCCTAACAAACTGTCACAGTATACTATAAACAACAGATGGGAAGTTCCTACAGTCTAACATACTTCATGATGGACGTATATTTTCGAGCTCCGTTGGTTCTTCTGTTTATTGGCCTATTTACCCGCTTTTATTTGCTCCCGAGACCGCCTGCAGCTACCTCCAACTCAAATAACAAGAGTGAACTTACTGTCAAGTCTGAATCTACTTGTTTGTCGGGTTTCGAAGCTTTCGCTTCATCTTATCGCATAATAATAGTAAAAGAGGACAGTAACAATAATAATAATAATAACAATAATAATAATAACAATAAAAAAGTTCTAAATTGTGTCTGTTTAACTAATCCCGTTTAGATAATCAAGTTGTAATAACAACTTATACATGTGGTTTGTTGCAAATTAATGTTTCCTGTCTATCCCTCTTTGTAACACAGGAAAAAGAGAAAGATACCTGTTTACTTCAGACCAAGCTTTGTAAAGCGGTATCAGTTTTAGTTGGCACCACACCAGAGGTTCAAAAACTAGATCAAGCAAGGAGACTTCACAAGACCAATCCAAACAACACAGTGCTAGCAAATGACCACCAGACGAAACTTGCTTTAGTGCAATCAAAAGTCTTGACTGAATAACGCAAACTCAAGAAAAAATTTCGAGGAATGGGAGGAGTTCTTTGTGACTCACAATTGTTCGCTGGCATTACCTGAAGATATATACAACGATGCAACAGCAAAGGAGCTAAAGAAAAAAATTAAGTATGCGGATGGGCTGTTAAATTAATGGACAATGGATGCTTTGGGTTGTAAATAATTATTGGGAATGTACACAAGTCTTGTTTTAGACCGTCTGATACGTAATAATTCATGTCAGTGAGGTTGCAGTGTCAGTAAACAATATCATTTTAAAGGTTTATGGCAGCCTTATCAAGCCATCAGTAATAAATTTATACTTTGGACCATACCTTTTCTCTTGGCCTTGAAAGAAGCTTGTTTCTGACGTTAAAGGGGAAGTACGGTCTAGAAAAAGGTTAACCTATATCAAAAGTTTCTGACTTGTTTTTTTCATAATTGGCAATTCATTTGAGCTTAAAGTGTATTTGTTGCCAGAAATTACGTTTAAAAAATTGACATTTTGGAATTAAAATCCGCCATCTTTGTTATGACGTAGCTATGACGTAGCAATAGTCAAGCGTTGTAATGTCGACTAAGATGGATGAAAACATAGAAAACAGCGGCGAGGAGAGCGATAATGACTCAATTCTCGACTTGGATCTTAATCCAGACGGTGTAATTCGTCCATTCATGTTTAAGCCGCAACATAGCTCATCTTCAGGAGAAGAAGAAATCTCTGTTGACAAAGAAACTCAGGAAGAGATACAAGAAGAAACATCTACGCGCTCACGTCTTGGAATTCGCGAGTGGTGCTCTTGCGGCAACTGTCAAGAGATGCCAACAGAAAACGAGTGTATATGCTGTCAAGAAATGGATGTACTAAGTGATCGACTCGATCTGGAAGGTAATTAATTCTTCTCAAATAAAATCTTTGTTTCTAAAGTGATAATTTTTTATTTTTTTACAAAAGAACGGCGCAGTGCCCGCAATGGATTTATTTCACCCTGCTAACTGAGTGATATGAACTATCACTGAAATTGCAGGTAACAAGCTTCAGTGTATTACGGAGCACGATTCATTTGGACCCGTGTGTTTACTAGCGGACGTCTTGAGAACAGCCCTAGTTGGCATGCACCAAGTGAGAAATGACAGACTTGAAAATTATCCGTCAAATGAGTAAGCACCGACAGAGTAAATATTTTTCACAAAATTCATGCAAACAAAACGCTTTAGTTGTTTACGAGTTCGTGTGACGCGAACCCTAAGAAACAAATGCAGTGTTGTTAGCCCTTTTAATACAAGTGGTGCTGTAGTCTTTTGTCTGAAGCGTGAACTTCATCGCTACATTTAATTGTAAAGAGCCAGTAGACCTCAACATAGTCGAATACCAATCGTGTTTGTCAGCCGTGTGGTGGAGGATGACCCACTTCTCTTTGAGGAGCTTGGGATTTCCGTCACACGTCATCGCTGACCACAACATATGTTTGTTACGGATTTTATCCAAGGAGAGAGGTCCTTGCATTCTTTTTTCTTGGCTTTCGTGACTAGCTTGGACTTGATGTTCTTAGTCAAGTGCCACACGTCTACCTGGTGCTCAACACCGAGGTCCTTGTACTCGCTTTTTTTAAACCTTTAAAATGATATTGTTTACTGACACTGCAACCTCACTGACATGAATTATTACGTATCAGACGGTCTAAAACAAGACTTGTGTACATTCCCAATAATTATTTACAACCCAAAGCATCCATTGTCCATTAATTTAACAGCCCATCCGCATACTTAATTTTTTTCTTTAGCTCCTTTGCTGTTGCATCGTTGTATATATCTTCAGGTAATGCCAGCGAACAATTGTGAGTCACAAAGAACTCCTCCCATTCCTCGAAATTTTTTCTTGAGTTTGCGTTATTCAGTCAAGACTTTTGATTGCACTAAAGCAAGTTTCGTCTGGTGGTCATTTGCTAGCACTGTGTTGTTTGGATTGGTCTTGTGAAGTCTCCTTGCTTGATCTAGTTTTTGAACCTCTGGTGTGGTGCCAACTAAAACTGATACCGCTTTACAAAGCTTGGTCTGAAGTAAACAGGTATCTTTCTCTTTTTCCTGTGTTACAAAGAGGGATAGACAGGAAACATTAATTTGCAACAGACCACATGTATAAGTTGTTATTACAACTTGATTATCTAAACGGGATTAGTTAAACAGACACAATTTAGAACTTTTTTATTGTTATTATTATTATTATTATTGTTATTATTATTATTGTTACTGTCCTCTTTTACTATTATTATGATAACCAGTCTTTGTTTGTTTATATTGTTACAGTAACATGTATAATGTACCTTTTGATTTCCAGTTGAATCTGTCCTTTTCTTTTGACTGTCAGAGCTACCACTTGATATAGCATTTAAGTCCACTGTCTGAAGAGCCCTACTTCTGTTCCCTACAAATAACAAAATGACACATTGTACATGATAAGTGCAACATGGAAAATATTGAGTTGGCACTACTTTACATGAACATGGTCAACAAAATATTAATCAACTCTCCAAGTCAGCCAAGTTGTGTTTCATTAGTAGTTTCTTTCCTGTAAGTGATTTATTATGATTATTATCGTGCCTCATAGTCATCCCCTCAGTTTTAAAATCAGTGCAGCAGACTTTTCACATATTATCTACCTGGTACTCTTGTGTCTCTGTATATTGTAAAGTTCATTGTTTTCAAATATCCTGATAGTAATAATCCATACTGTCACAATACATGTAAATGAATATCTTTTATCAGCCTGAGGGTAATAGTAGACAATGAATCACCTACCTGAGGTTTTGACTTCTTCATCATTTGTGACACACACTCTTTCCAAGAGGGTGTCATCTTCCAAGTCTAGACCTTGCTCTCCTCCGATAAGCCTCAGGCATACTGCTTCTCCTAGGTCAGAGTTTGGTTCTTGATGGTAATCACTGGCATCATACAGAACTGAGCTTGCACTTTTACGGCATTTTCAGATGTGGATGAGCTGTCATTAGCCTACAGGGGCATTTCTATTGGTTCTAACTGATTCTGTGGTCTTAAAGATGTAAATTCTGTGAACAGAGGGCCATTCAAATAATCAGTATAAATTTGCTCTACATTGCCATCTTGATCTTCAGTGCGAATTAAGTGGGCTGGAATGATTACTTCTGTTTCTACACATTCTTGCCAACACTTCATTAAATATTCTTCTTCATTCTTGAAGTTGGTTGACCTGAAGTGGTGCAGCTTGGGACCTTCCTCTCGGAACTCAGGTTCACTGCAAGCATCGAAAAACTCAACAAACTCATCATCTTGACACCCCCACACACCCTCTCCTGGCAACAAAAAATCACTAATTCTTTCTAAGTGTGCTTGCCATGATCGTGAATGTTTCTTAATGAGTTCCTTTGGAATTCTTGTGTTGCTTTGCAGTGGAAGTGAATGTGCCAAGCGAGAAACTTGTGATTCTTGTTTTTCAACACAGTTTTCTGATCTTCCTAATTTTTTCTCAGCCTGTAAGCGAATGAATATGTTGCTGATAATGTGGCCAGGGCGATAGCATGATGTGTTGTTAGTAATTGATTTGACTGTGTTGAATGTTATCTCTTCTTCTTCGGCATTTGAAGAGCGTCCTGAGTTGATACTTAGTTGCATTGGGGCATGGGATGTTAGGTCAGGTCATTTTCTGAGTGTTAAGAGCGCTTGTCTTTAAAAATCAAACATATCGCGGCAAGGGTGGAAAATTCGATTTCTTTCTTATTTTAATGTTAGATAGGCTAGGCTATAACTAAAATCCCTGGATACTATTTTTGGAAAAATATCTTTTTATTTCAGAGAAAAATACAAATAACGAAATTCCGTTAAAATTGTCATTTTTAGCAGCAAATTATTGCACGAGTTTGAGGGCTTCGCGTGCAAAAACGAATCACTATCTCGTCTTTTAAACACTCAAATCTTCCTTCTCGATCTCATAAGACCTCACAAAATGATTTCGTAAACATTGCGCGCTTCTTTGTGCTTAAAATAATTTAATTTCGAAAGCATGCATTTCTCTTCAGTAAAAATACTTCGTGAATAAAATTAATTTTCATCATGTGCTAAACCTTCAAATGGATTAAGCTTTTGGCGGTTGAATTTCGAAAATATGTTCTCAATATAACTGTAAAAATTTGTTTGGGCAAATGATTGAGAGCGATACAAAAGCTTTTCAAAGTCCGTTAAAGTGCAGTTATTTGACCTTTTGCGGTCAACATTCCAGTCGCGAGTCACACATATTTTAATATGTTTCAACCCATAGGAGGCCGAAAAATGTACATAAAAAGATATTTCCAAATGCTCTTACCTCATTTGCCGCAGAAGACCGAACCAGAGACCATTTTAGAGTGATTCTCTTGTCGTTCGTCGTTTTAGGTCTGTATAAATGATAACGTCCGATGAAACCACCAACCCTGTCGAACACCATCTTGTTGTCAAACGTTCGATATCTTTCTTCACTGTGGCATCTTATTCAACGGTTCAGTTGACTGCGAGTATTGCTCAGTTTACAATGCAATAAAAGATTACATCTGACAGTCTAATTCAATGCTAAACTGAGTTGACTACAAACATGTACGCCTTTGAGTATTTGGGTTGTCACGCAATACCGGTGACAGGAACTTTAGGGGATAGGTGAAGGGCAAAACTCCATATAATTAAGCACTATCAGAATTGAACTCTTGGAAACTAAAAAATATTTTATTCTGTAAACATTTTTGCAATAGTGTCATCTTTGTCTGGTGACAAACAGTAAAATACATTTATTTATTGCAGGGAATTATTCTTGTTTTTTTGGCGCTCTGTGCCTGTCGTACCTATTAGGGGTGTTTTTCTTTACACTAAAATTGCAAGGAATACCCTAATAGCATGAAAGACAACCTTTTGTACATTTTTACAACACCATGCTACAAAACGCAGTGGTGGGGATGTGTGGCTTATGTGAGGCTGGGGTGCTATGTTCCGTGGCCAATGGGTGGGGCTTGCATAAGGGAGTGGTACTCTTAACCACTGTTAACAGACCAACTTCCGTTTAAAACCTTAAACTACAGAGAGGCCGACATATGTGCGCTCGGCAGAAAATAAGGTCGATCTCATCTTCAGGACCGGTAAATTTGAAAGCCAACTCATGACTTGCGATATTCTTGGTGCATGAAAGTAAAGGAACAATTTCCGTTTCACACATTCGATCTCTAATGTTGTAATCACAAACTCCGCCAGTAAGCGACTTGAACGAACAACAACCTTCCATTTTCTATGTAACAAAGTTGACGGTGTAAGTTAGTGTATTTGTGAAAAACAAAGTCCGAAGCCCAGCCTCTTAGCGAAGAAAAGGCATCGTGTAATTATCATAAACCAGGTTTTGTTTTCTTAGGCTTACTATTTTTAGCAGGTACTGAATTTAGCTTTTCAACGAGTATTGGCCAAAGGCCCGATCTCCGCGACTTACATATAAGAGATTTTGATGTTCACAACAATAAAGAAGCTTAGCAGCAGAATGACGTCTTTTTACTTTCCCCTTTCCCTACCTCCTAAAAAATAACTTTCCATTGCATGATTTGCATTGCGTGACGACTCTCCGTATGCAAAACTACGTTGACTGCAACATATGTGTAGTGCCACTTTTAAAAGCATCGCTCAGATCTACTGCACCACAAACCGAACAACGCTCACAGTCAACTGAACCGCTGGATAAGATGCCACGGTGCAGAAAGATGTCAAAAGTTTTACAAGGAAGGTTGGTGACAGTTCGCAGATTGACAGGCAGTTTTATCGGACGTTATAAATACGACTAGCGACAAGATAACCACGGTAAAATGGTCTTTCGATCTTTCTTCTACGGCAAATGAGGTTAGAACATTTGGAAATATGTACCCATGTACATTTTCCGGCCTCATATGGGTTGAATCATATTAAAGTATGTGTTTGACTCGCAACTGGAATGTTGACCGCGAAAGGTCAAATAACTGCATTTTAACAGACTTTGAAAAGCTTTCGTATCGCTCTCAATAATTTGCCCAAAGAAATTTTTACAGTAATATTAAGAACATCTTTTCGCAATTCTACCACCCAAAGCTTAATCCATTTGAAGGTTTAGCACATGCTGAATATTAACTTTACTCACAAAGTACTTTTACTGAAGAGAAATGTATGCTTTCGAAATTAAATTATTTTACACTGTGACGATAGTTTTTCGCTCGCTAACTGGAAAACTGAATCTTCGCGGACGGAACAATAACAACTGGGGGAAATAACTCGGTAGAGACCACTTGGCAGCGAGAACGGAAACTTGTCACGATTTCCTGGTACACGGAGATCTACTTCGAGCGAGTTTATACGGACGTCAAGGATAAGACAATCTTGGTTCCACAGTACTTTTATTCTAGGTCAGGCCAACAAGCGACATGACCTCTAGCATACTCTAGTTTATAATCATCAAAGCTGTACAAGGTACTTGCTTAAGAAGTAACTGGTGTGAAGTGCTATTGTTACACAAATCGCAATATTTGAATAAGGACACAAAGGAGCGGAAAAGATCTCTTTGAAGTTAAACGAAAACTACTTAAATATTCCATCTGTTTCTACGACGGAAAGAATCTCAAAATTAAAAAGACGGATGCAATAAACTCTAGGCCGTTATAGTAGGAAACCTAGGTGCGAATTTACAGCTCTAATATAGAAAACAATACCTATCTTAATTGTAGCAGCGCAGCTCAGGAAATAAAAACGGAAAAGCAATTAAAAGTTTCTGCTTATCTATGCAAGATTGGTTTGGAAACCATCGCATGAAAAGAAATTAAATTTACGCGTATAAACTCAGCTGTCAACTACCATGAAAACCAATGTTTCCAGAAAGACCATTAACACTTATATTTACCTAAAAAAAAACCATGTAATAAATGACAAAAGTGCCGACAACCAGGTGCATAGTAAAAGTGAGTAATCAACAAAATCCATTCCAAAAGCCATTGTGGTTTTTATGCATTTTTTTGATTTTTTAAAATGAAAGGACTTGAAATGGTTAAATGTGAAAGTTTACGAATAAATATGTACCGAATAACACACACGGGAAAATCAGTAAATTTTCCCGTAACAACACGCAAAGAGGAACGCAGTGTTTACAAAAATCGTTTTGTGAGGTCTTATGAGGTTAAAAAAGAAGATTTGAGTGCTAAAAAAACGAGTTTGTGATTCGTTTTTGAATGCGAAGCCCTCAAACTTGTGCAATAATTTGCTGTTAAAAATGACGATTTTAACGGAATTTTGTGATTTGTATTTTTCTCTGAAATAAAAAGATATTTTGTCGAAAAAAGTATCCAGTGATTTTAGTTATAGTATAGCCTATCTAATATTAAAATAAGAAAGAAATCGAATTTTTCACCCTTGCCGCGAAATTTAGAATTTGTCTGATTTTTACAGACAAGCGCTCTTAAAGCCGACTATTTCTTGACAAAGAGTGTGGTGGTACCAGCTGGAGTTATGGAAATGGAGAATTAAACGTGGGATCTGAATCTGTCTTGCCCGTAAAGGATGTCCTGGATGTCAACCATTGTGTCGAGAAGATGTTGCTCTCAAGGGCTGGCTGTTCCTCTCACATAGCAAGAGATTGTTATTAAAGAACATCGGTAATCCACTGCCCGCCTTGTTTCTTTCTTCCCTGTAGCTAATCCAACTGCTTCTTCTAATTTTTTTCTACATGACTCATCCTCTATATGCGCTGGTAGCTCTGTCAATAAATTTTCAATGTGATGTGAAATGTCATGCATGGACTCACATGGAAGTACCTCATAACCTCCAAGGTTCAAGGATTCAAGGGTGGCATTGGGGTTGTTATAAAGAAGTGCTGGCACTCTGCACACACCATGAAGACTCTAATCCAAGAGAATATGTAATTCCTTCTTAGTCTTCCCCTCATAAATTCCTCTCCCTCCTAATTCCAATTCCAATTCTGATTTCTGCAGACCGCTAAATGGCTTTGGCTTCAGAAGGAAAGAGTTCCTCTTTCCTATGGACCCTTTCATTACAATCTTCTGTCTATCATGTAATGAGATGGTATGGCATCTGAAGCTGTGGTCTAGCTCATTCACTCTATCTGCACTAACTCCACAACCAGAGCAGTCTGCTGCCCACCTTCAAACTGCCGAGATGGAGAATCACTGTGAAAGAATCTTATGATATTGTAACGATAGCTAGACAGGCGGTCAGGTACCAAAACATCAACTTATATTTAACCCAAGAACAGAGCTCCAATTTACTATGCTAACAACATGACCGACACACGAGGAAGCTGTTCCCAAGATACCATGCGGCCGCAGGAAGCTCAATGCTTCATGTAAGCGTACTCGTTACATCTCCTTCCCTTAGTTTCAGTTCAACAAACACAAAATGTAATGTTCCGAAATGTTTCTATGCCTCAAGGTTCTTATGTACTAAACAAACTGTGCATACAGGTAGGAAGACCTAACAATAAAAGGAACGACAACAAAACAAAGAGGCAAAGTCAAAAAAAGTGTCTTGTTCCTCAGCACTCGTAATCTTGTAGCCACAGTGGTGGGTGACGTTCACGTGTTGGACGACTAGGTGGCTCTGGAACTACTGGTGTTGGCAGAACCAATGGTTGCGGCAACGCAACTGAGCTCGTCTCAGTCTGCTCGATTAGCTCAGTCGGCTCGCTTGTTTCGGAAGGCTCCAACGTTTCAGGAGTGGCCCTTAACCATTGGCGGTTTCGACGATACTGTTTCCCATTCACCTCTACCTGATAGGAACGGTTGCCTACATCTCCAATGACCTGTCCAAGGGACCATTCTTTCTCACCTGGCAGGCGCATTCTTATGACATCACCGTTGTCTAATTTCGGCAATTCGTGTGTGTGTTGGTCATAATAATGCTTCTGCTTCTGCTTCCTCATCTCAATCATCTTTGGTACATTAGTGATCACACGAGGCTCTAACAATGTCTTACCTACTGGGAGACGAGTCCGTGTTCGCCTGCCGTAGAGAAGCTAAGAAGGTAAAGCATGCATTCCCTCAGTAGGTGTGTTGCGCCATTCAAGTAACGCCAACAAAGGATCTCGCTTATCTGCACGGGCTTTCATCAACAACGACTTGCAGGACGGCATTTTCAACACGACCATTACTCTGGGGATGGCGAGGGCTTGAAGTAATGTGATGAAAGTCCCATTCTTTATTGAACGACTCAAAATCTCCACTGTTGAAAGGCGGTCCGTTGTCACTTATAACTGTCACAGGGATGCCATGTCTGGCAAACCAAGTCTTTAAGACCGTAATGACACGATTGCTTGTGGTGTTACTCAAATCTTGTACCTCAAAATGACCAGAGTAGTAATCAACAGCTATCAGGAAGGCCTGCCTCTCAAGTATAAAGAAATCAACCCCAACTTTCTCCCACGGTAGATTGGGCACAATATGGGGCTGCAGTGGCTCTCTACATTGTTCAGGTCGATACCTTTTACAAATACCGCATTTCGATAGGTAATCCTTGAGCTGTGCCGTGATTCCCAGCCAGTAACCAATATCACGAGCTCGACGCAGTGTCCCTTCGACCCCAATATGCGACTCATGCAGGCTCTTCACAATGTCAGAACGCTCACCAGCAGGTATGACTAAACGATGACCCTTGTATACCAAACCATCCTCTGTAGTCAGCTCATCCCGGCTGTTCCAATACAGCTCGATCACTTGTTTCTGACGCTTGTCATTTTCACGTGCCTGTGCCAAGGTTTCCGGCCAACCTTTACGAATAACATTGGATAGGATCTGCAACTCTTCATCCTTAGCAGTCTCCTCGCGCAGCCTCTCCAAACGAGTAGGAGACACCGTCAGTTCTTCATCATGTTTGATTTGTTCTAACTCAAAGGCAAATAGTGGTTCCTTAATGGAACGGACATCACTGTTTGGGACAGTTGACTGTTCGCCCTCGAGATATGCTCGACTTAGGGTGTCAGCCAAGAACATGGTGGTGCCTTTCTTGTATTCCACTTGGATGTCATAATTCTGCAAATGGAGTCGCATTCGTTAGAGGCGCTTTGGGGAGCTGTGGATGGGTTTCTTGAATATGGTTTCCAGCGGGTTGTGGTCTGACTGGACAACTACATCACTTCTTCCAAAGATGTACTGATCAAACTTCTCACATGCTAAGACTATTGCAAGAAGCTCCTTCTCGATTTGAGCATAATTTTGTTCAGTAGGGGTCATCACACATGAGCTGTAAGCCACTGGACACCCTTCTTGCAACAAGGCAGCTCCAAGTCCGACTGCTGACTGCTCACATCATAGTAGGCAAGTACAGGGGCGGTTACAATCATTTCTTTAACACGGGCCAAAGCATCAGCATGGGCAGGTAACCAACACCATTCAGCATCCCTTTCAGTGAGTTTTCTCAGGACTTCTGTTTCATCTCACAAGCGTGGCAGAAACTTTGCCAAATAATTCACCATGCCAAGAAATCGACGCAGAGAGTGAACATCAGTAGGGTCAGGCATTTGTACTATTGCCTCCACCTTGCACGGGTCAGGTTTGAGACCTTCTGGTGTCAAAACATGACCAATAAAGGGAACTTCTTGCTGTCTCAGCCAGGCTTTCTTCTCGTTCAGCTTCAGGTTTCTTTCACGACAGCGATTTAAGAAAGCACGTACATTTTGGTCATGGTCTGACTGCCAACCAGCCGGTGTGTTGCCGTATCCAACAATCACAAAATCATCTGCAATGACCTCTACTCCCTTAAGCCCCTCTATGTGCTCTCGCATTCTTCGCTGCCAAACTTCTGGTGCACTATTAATGCCAAACGGCATTCGCTTCCAGCGGTAATGCCCGAAAGGGGTGTTAAATGTGGTGAGCATACTGGATTCTTCGTCAAGTTCCACCTGCCAGAAGCCATTGCTAGCATCAAACACGCTGAACAACTTTGCTCCGTTTAGCCTAGTTGCAATTTCTTCAATTGTTGGCATTGGGAAATTTTCTCGTTTTATGGCGACATTCAGATCCCTAGGATCAAGACAAATGCATATCTTCGTCTCCCCACTTGCTTCAGAAGGCGGCTTACTCACCACCAGCATGCTGGAAACCCAATCTGTGGGCTGATCGACCTTTGCTATGACATCATCCGCTGTCATTTTCTCCAACTTTCTCTGCACGTGCTCGGTCATGGCAACAGGTAACCGCCTTGGTGGGTGGACAACAGGCTTCACGGACTTGTCAGTTACAATACTATACTTCCCATCTAGCTTTCCAAGACCTTCAAATACGTCAGCATACTCTTCCAGTAAGGGGTCTTTATCTGTCTTCAGCACATTTATGCGTGGATCTCGGTCGCAATCAAGGATCTTTATCAGGTTCATTTCTAACATACTCTTCTTGGACAATATTGGCTCATAGCCACGACCATTGACTACACTAACTCGTATCTTGTGTGTGTGTCCGTTGCGGGTTGCATACAAGGTTGCTTTGCCCTCGATGAGTTGTTCATACCCATTAGCCATGATCAGAACCGACTTCACTCGAGTATCAAGAGAGTTTAAGTCCAGGTCACCAGTCACGCCCTTGTAGACATCCAAAGGCAGTAGGTTACACTCAGCTCCCGTGTCCATCAGGAAGGCAACTTCATGGCCTGTCATACTATCAGCATCCTTCGACACGTTGAGGGTCACCACCTCACGTCCTTCATCGCTTGGGACACCTGCAGTACTCAAATAAAACTTCTCCTGGACAGTAGACACCTTACTTTTTGCTGGGCACTTGGCTACAAAATGATTCTTCTTTTTACAATACGCACAGGTCTGGCCAAATGCAGGACAGTTGCGTCTTTCATGATTCCTGCCACCGAATCTGCAATTTCTGATCCTGTTGTCGTTTACTAAAGGAGTGTCACGAGACAGCTCTTTTTCTTTCTGTTTGATAGCATTCAAACCAGATTCCACGGTCATAACTTTAATTTGAGCAACTGTGCTTTCTGCAGCGCGAGCGATATCTAAAGCTTTCTCTAAAGTCAACTTTTTCTCTTTAAGCAAATTTTCACGTACCTTGCCATTCCTGGTACCAGTTACTAAACGATCACGGAGAAGCTGCTCTGGTGTGAGTGATTCAAAATCACAGTTCCCTGCAATTTGGCGTAATTCCGTCATGTATTGATCAACCGTTTCAGACTCTCGCTGATCTCGAGTAAAGAATAGAAAACGTTCGTAAATGGTGTTCTCTCTGGGTATACAGTAATCTTCGAATTGCTTTAAGACGGGCGCAATCTTCTTCTCGTCGCCTGCCGAGGCCCAAGTGAAAGTACGAAACACTTTGTTTGCTTCTTTTCCGATAACTGCCAACAGCGTCGCTACTTGGCGCACTTCATCCTCTTTATCCAGCTATGTAGCCAATGTGTAATTCTTCCAGGCAGCAACCCAAGTTCGCCAGTTTGATGCCGTTGAGCCATCGGTGAGCTTGAGAATGTCAGGGGGTGGAATTTGAAAATTCGCCATTGTCGCTCCTCGCTGCTTGTTTCTGGCATAAATCTTCCAGTGCTCTTGGCGTGCGGGTCCGGTGGATTTCTGACACCATGTAACCATAGCTAAACAGGCGGCCAGGTACCAAAACATCAACTTACATTTAACCCAAGAACAGAGCTACAATTTACTATGCTAACAACATGGCCGACACACGAGGAGGCTGTTCCCAAGATGCCATGTGGCCGCAGGAAGCTCAATGCTTCATGTAAGCGTACTCGTTACAGATATCTTTTATTTCAATCCCATCTGTGGTCAATAGATTTCTTTGAAGATGTTGTAGACAGCATAGACGTGTCTCTACATAGGCCAGTTGCTCTACATCACGGCTTCTACATCTTGCTACAATGTAGACATGAGGTTTCTCAACTTCTTTCTGGACATTGGCAACTTTTCCTGATGCTTTCTTGTATTCTTCATCGGTCATGTAGATGGCAAAACTGTTATGTTGCAGCTTATACAAAAACTAGTTTCCCATCATGGTTTTTGTGTTTTGTTTGTTTAACCAGTCTAGCAGATGTAAAAAAGAAATTGATTTCCTCAAGACCCTATATGTTCATAGTGCTGAAAAAAAAGACAACAGCTGTGGGATCAATTATTTCAATATTTGGTTCAACTTGTGTTACCTCTCCAGGAACTATAAGCTCGCCAACTGTAAATTCTCGTTCCTGAATTTGAAGTTTCAGTTTCTCTTTTAAAGCATCATTTATTTCTGGTGTGGGGATGGAAATTTCACCACCAAGTCCTTTTAATTTCTTTCTTCTGGGCTGTCGCTCAACTTCAGCAGCACGTTTAAATCTGTGTAGGTTAACACATTGGGAAATAAGCCATTCCTGAGCTATCTGGCCCCCATTTTTTGCAATTTCTCCCTTCCGGTTTGTTATTTTGTACCTTCTGGCAATCTCTGACAAATTAGCCTTCACACCATCTGCTTACCCTTCTACTTCAGACTTTAGACCATTCTTGTCCCATGTCATAGGATCAAAATTGCCAGCATGACGTTTTCTTTTGACAGTTGAATCTTCTTCATGTTCTGAACTGATCTCCTTTCTTTTAATTGCAGCTTCTCAAGTCTCAAAGGAAGTATCAAGCCGATCCCGTTGCCTTGCAGCATATGATTGCCGCTCCCCAAGACATCTGAAAATTTTTACAATTAAAGGCCTTTTTTAGGACATTCATAATCTTCTTAGCTTAATAAATATGTAATTGAGCATTTTTGTGCTGTATTAAGTTTTCATCTTTTCTTCCCCATTTTTTTAAAGTTGTTGAATTGTTGGTAACTACATTTAATAGCAGATTTTTTGGGTGATGATGCTCTGACTAAATTAGATGGTTTTTGATATAAATTGCCTACTTGACAGATATATTCCCAACAAACTGGCACAGTCAGTAGCCCTCTTCGAAAAAATAGTTACCTCAAAAGGGAAGTTTTCTCCCATTCGTCCTCTTCTCTCTGTTTATATCTTCTATATGTGGCTCTCTTTTCTCTCTTGACTTCAGCTGGGGATTTTCTTTTTTTAAGTTGGAGCTCTGGGAGGTTATTCAAAGCCTCGCCAAAAGATATACTGCATACTTTTTGAAAGGTGACATCAATTTTATTGTACAAAGATCTTGCAATAGTTTTAACTTCCCCTGCCTTGCATGGCTTGATCTTCAATTCTTTTCCAGCGGTGAAAAATGGATTCTCTTTTGCTATTCCCTTCAACTGGTTTTACTTGACTGGAAGTAAAGCTTGAATTTCAGCATAGCGATGATGGCATCCTTTGCTGAGTTTGCAAAAGAATGTTCACTCTTTTCCGTGAACGCCATTTTTTCCCAATTATTTACACTAAATTTGTCCAAGTACTTTTCCTTTTCATCCTTTTTCCTTGAACATAGTGCGTAGTGCGCGGGAATTTTCTTTTGAAACCTCAAAAAATCGATTGAAAAATCCTCAGACCTGTCTTTGAAGACCTCATTGTACCGTTCGTAACTCTTGCATTGAGCGCGCTTTAAATTTTGCCATTCCTTCCTCATTTTCCCGATAAAGCGTCTCGGTTGTTTTCCTTACGATTGTTAAAGCTGCTACTCGAGAAAAGCCACAACTAGTCGGGCAAATAAGGGTAGCAACCATGCTACTGTACTATTAATTTTACTTTCGAGCGAAAACTGTTTGCGAACTAATTTGTCAGTACGATAACTTAGTGTGAAGTTGGCGCTATTTTTCTTGAGCGGTATATTATATGCACACATAAATTACGAAAAGATCATGTTTCAACGCTTTTTTTATTTTAAAAAGATAGCCTTTTACAGCAGTTTAATTCATCCGTGCCTTGTCGTTTCAGAAGACTATAAACAGGCACAAATGCTCTCAGTTCCTCACGTTCGGTGCGATGAATTAATCTGAAAATCTAGAAAGCTACATATTATTCATAACATACCGGTTTTTTTGGGAAAAAATTAATTTTCGCCCATTGATTACAAGAGGCAATTCGCTTCAGGAAGGAGGATGGCTTCCTTGTCCACCATCTTGCATACCCTCCCCATTTCCATAGTAACAGTAGCATCCGCTGTCTAGGTGAACCGTACATTCGGGAACAAAATGGCGGCTAAAATCTTGCAGTGACTGACTTCGCGAAACCAGGTTGCAGGAGCATTTTTAAATGAACCTTATACGCGTGTTTACCGATAAATACTTTCATCGAATCACATTAAACGTGTTATGTACTGGATGAGCAGCATTTGCGGGGGCAAACGAATTCTTGTAGCTCGACATTTGTCAATACCGATTAAAAATAACCTTAATTTTCCATAGTCGTTTAAGGAGAAAGAAGAGACATCCTTGCCAACAAATTTTCGATTCTTCGTGTTATGTTTTATCTTCAGGGCGAATATGGTACCTTAAGGTCAATAAAAAGTACTCCTGCAAGACAAGCAAAATATATTGGCGGGAAAATGTTCGTTAATGTGTCACGTGATATGTCTCTGCCGACAGCTGGTGTGGGGAAAAGTAGGAAAACATATTTCGCAACGATCCGACGCGCAAAAACTCACCTATCCGAGCTGTTCTTTTTTAAATATATTTTTTTTCATTATTTTTGCCTATTTTTGATAGTCACCCAGGCCTTGATTTAGCTGAGTTCCTTTGCTTCTCAAACATCCCTAAACCAATCAGAACCTCCGTCTAAAACTTCTGGAGCCAATCAGTTCTGATGTTAGTTCCACCGTTTTTGTAAAGTTCTACAAATTTCTCTTCGTTGTTCATTTGTTATGACTCAAGTAAACTTTTGTGATTGATCGCTAGGAATCAAGAACATTTCCAAAATGATTTGTCTCTTGAAATTTATCTTTACATGGAGTTTACTTGTACGTCAACTCACAGGTAATGCATTTACTTAAGAAGTTTATTTTAACAGCAGCAGATTGTTGTGCCTTTTAGAATGTAATTAGGGTTTTTGAATTCAAATCAAAGGAATCGTTTTCTTGTTTGGATAAAATCGAAAATATTAATCGTTACAATTTAATCTAAATCTAAGTATTCTCCCTCAGATGGCGGAAGTGTCACATGGTATGAACCAACTCCAGTTCAGACGACTTCAAATCAAGTTGAAGATCTCATCCCTGGCAAGTTAGAGGTTTATGAAGGATCTCCTGCCATATTAAATTGGAACTACAATCTGACAGCAATTCTACTTTCGGTTATATTACAATTTAATGATGTTTCTATAGTTGCCATTTCATCAGACGGGAAAGTCGGTCCTGTTAATCATAATTTTCGGGAACGGTTCAGCGTAAATATCTCGACTCCACAGAACATTTCTCTGTCGATTTCTAAAGTGACTACTGCTGACGATGAGTCAAATGGAGAATTTACCTGTGAGTTGAATGACTTAAATGCTGCTAAATGGAGACGTGCAATTCAGGTCCAAGTTGTGGGTAAGCTTAAAAGTTTTCCTGACTTTTAGAGATTCTTATCAATAATAACTATAATAAAATATAAGCTAGCTTTTGTCCTTTGGGCCTAGAGAATGTGTAAGTAGACTTTTGGAAGACAATAATAATTCTTTACGTGAAAAACCTCAACATTCCTTTCAACAAATTTATTTAGTTAACTGTGTTTTATGCTATGGATTTTGTTAGGCATGACACATTTAATCCTAGCGGTAGTTTTCAATAGTATACTTTACTATTGTTTAATTGTTGAGGTTGCTAGGGACTTTCCCGAAGAGCAAAATATCCAATGTAATGCTCGTAAACCTCTTTTTTTACATGTGATGCGAAATATTTGAAGGATAATAACCACAACATCCACTATTTTACACGAAAGCATGCTACTAGAAAATTATACTATTAAATTATACTATTAAATAATATTAGAAAATTAGACTTGTCAGGTTTGATATGATCATAATACTTTACACCTTGTATCGTCAATTAGTTTTAGCTTTTCCTCATTTTATGAAATGTTATATCTAGTCTTTTGAAAATAGATTTAAATCTTAATTTTAGTCATATCATTTTAGCTATTTGCAGATGGTATTATCTCAATTTAGTTCTTTTTTCACTTTTAATTTCTGTGTTAAATTACCTCCAAACCTAAGCAGGTGAGATTGTTCTCGCAAAAGCTAAGTGTATATACACAATAAACTTGACATGACTTGCTTGCATAGTTGCCCTTCAATATGACCTGTTCCTTTATAAAGCTCACAGTTTTTTGCATCTGGGAACAGATAATGTCCTCAGACAAATATTTGTGATTGTTTTCATGCCAAGGAGAGGCTACTATTTATATACATATATTCTGTCACGTGATGTGTTGAGACCAATTACTTGCACACAAATGTGTTGCAAGGATGATAAGGATAATCATGTGTGAATGATGTGATCACAAAGTACTAATAAACTTGACTAATCCTTCAAATCTAACACGTTGCTGTTTTATTCACAAGACCAAGTTCAATACTGAATTAGTTTCATACATGTGTTATAACCTATATTACAATTAGATAAAACTACAAAGAGAATGATCTAGAAATGAACTGAAGGCATATATGGTATATTTTATTCAGAGCTGTTGATCACTTTATACTGGAGAACTTGCAATTAAAGTGGCAGATAAATGTTGCAAGACAATAACGAGTAATCAGAAAGATCCAAATTTTTTTTCGCAGAGGGCATGATAAGGAATCATACAATCTGATTGGCCAAAAACATTGCCGGAGTCATTTTATGGTGACATGTTATAATTTTGCTAATCACAATTTGGTGGGCTGAGTCTTTGAAGAAATTATTTTTTAAAAGAATGTTCTTGCAAATAGCTCTGTTGGGTCTCAATATTAATTTCTATAGAATTATTTCTTGGAAACTGTTGTTAAAATAATAATGCTTTGTTTCAGCTGAGAAAAGAATTTAGAAAAATGTTTGAGGGCCACTGAATTTCTTAAAGATATTTATGTATATTAAGCACTTATGATGGATTATAATCTAGGGACTGTTCTTGTATAATTTGCACAATCATAACATGTGTGAATTTCATTTGCATGCGCGAGGAAAAATATTTAAAAATCTTGTTAACAGTATTATCACTTTTCCACGTTGCTTATGAGTCAACATCCAATTTAATTATCCTGGAAGTTTAATTATGAATCTTTGATTGCTCTTAGTTCCATTAAGTATAACTGGGATAGGAGGTAAACCAACTGTTCTTGAAGGCAACAACCTGCAGTTAATCTGCAAAGTATCCAGTCGACTAGAAGCAAACGTCTCCTGGACCAAAGAGAAGGCTGGGAACCAAGGGAATACTCGTGTGGTGCAAGAAGGAAAAGTGCTGAATGTACCAAACATCAACCGAACTGCTGCAGGAACATTTACCTGTAGAGCATACAATGGCTTTGGTAAACCAGAGAACCAAACAGTTTATGTGGATGTAGTTTGTGAGTAATTGCATTGAAAAATGCATTGTCTAAATTTAAACAGAGATGCACTTTCCATGTATTTTCTATTTTGTAATTTACTATGTTGTCAATTACTTTAATTTATTGATGTTTGGCTAAGTACATCTGTGCAGGGCTCCAAGCTCAATTTTTTAAAAAATCCTTCAATCATAAAATGATTGCTGTTAAACAAACAAACAAAATAACTCACATTGAAGGGAGTGTATTTCAAGTTGCACTACATAAGGTATTTGGTGAGCTGAATGAAATGATTGCAACACTGTTATTTGCCAACTTGGTATGTTCACTGACTTTTGCCAATTAAAAGATTGTAAAAATGGTCAAGAGAGTGAGAATGAAGAAACTCTTCTGTCTGGAAGCCGACGAAGACTCAAATCATGTTTAAAACTATTTTGGTCTTGCTCAGCTGAGAAACATCTCTTGTTAAAAGTGAGCTGAAATACATGTGGTGGTTTTTAAAGCCTTTGATATTGAAATAACATCTTTAATCACTAGATATTTAGCCACCATACTTTGTACCACAAAAATTGAAGGTTAGAAGATTAGGTGGTACTGGAGGATACTTTGGCCTTTCTTGGAACTGGCCCTTTGTCAAGAATTGACTTTTCTTCACTTTTAATCTCATAGTGGTGTAATTAATTGGAATACATGATGATTTAGATTCACTTGCTTTAGGCTGCAAAGCATCCCAAAAATTAGAAATACCATCATAAATTTTGAAAATAGAAATGCTTATGAAAGCATATTTATGTTTTCATTGCTTGGAAATGTAAGTAGTCAGCTATTGTATAGAGCTCTTTCTCAAGTTCCTTCCATGATAAGAAAGCACCTTGTATTTCATTTTCATTTGGTTACATATGAAATTAATGTGTCAGA